AACAGAGGGAGCGATACCATTAAGATACAATTGATTATAAACATACGGAAAGAGATGGAAAGAAAAAGGAAGCCAACAACATTTAGAAACGTTTAGAGACATGAGATTGGAAGAACATCAATGAGAAACAGAGTTTATACAGTTTTGAACATGAGAAAAATTAGAAGAATCAGTAGGGGAGAGAGGAACAATCAAAAAAGCATCATCAGCAAAGAGACAGATTTCACAATTAGATGGAAGCGACAGAGGCAGATCATTAATAAAAATTGGATCGAATTGGATAGAAATAAAAGAGGATCAAGCACACTGCCTTGAGGAACACCAGAGGGAACAAGAGAAGAAGAGAAGACAGAATCATTCACACGCACACACTGAGAACGGTTCGAAAGATAAGAAGGTAGAAGAGACAACAAGGAATCACGCACACCACAACGAGATAATTTTTCTAACAAGAGAGAATGAGGAACAGAGTCAAATGCTTTAGAAAAATCAAAAGACACACCAACACACTTTACACCAGCATTCCAAAATTTAAAGACGATTGAAGATAAAAACAACAAAGCATCCAGAGTAGAATGTTTAGGACGAAAATCGAACTGTTTGTTTACAAAAAAAGAATGTTTCGAAAGATGAGAAAAAATAAAATTATAAGTTAGATCCATCGTCGGCAAGTCTGGATTGGTAGAAGGAATTTGCCCCTGAAGAGAAGAATAACAAGAGGAAAAATGAGAATTGAAGGGTTCAGCTTTATCCGCATCTGTGGAAACAGATTTGGCGCCTAGAAACAGAGACTGAGGTACAGTGGAGTGAGAAGAGGATAGTTTCTTGATAGAGCTCCAAAACTTTCGAAGATCAGAAAATAAAGAAGAGAGAAATCGGAAGTAAGAAGATTTTTCACGTCGATAGAGGGAAATAACAAGATTTCTTGCTTTACGGAACTCAGCAAGATTAAGAGAAGTATAACGGCGTTTAAGTTTACGAAAACGCTGGTTACGGATAGAGATAAAATGTGCAAGGTTTGGAGAAGGCGAGAGAACAGAAGATAGAGTACGATCTAGCACCAGTGGAACGAATCTACGGATGGCATCGTTTACGTGCTCAGTCCAAATGTGGACGGCCGTATCAGCATCGGTAGCCGTATAAAGACCGTGAGGTATAAGAAAGAGAATACGCCGTAGTTCAGGCCACTGTGCTTTTTTAAAGTCATAACGATAAGAAGTAGAAGAAAAAAGAGGTTGAACAGGTACATCAAAAGTAGCAGATAAACAAAAATGAGGAGAACAACCACTTTACGATATGACCAGGAGCCAGTTTTATAAAAAAACTCAAGTCAGAAATGTTCTTTGTCTTTTTTGTCTTAAGTCAGGCTTAAGTTTTTTTATAAAACTGGCTCCAAGCAAACTAAAGTTAACTTTAGAAGAGCTGTTCATTTTATCGCTACATCAACACAATTTTGTGTTATTCAAACTGTTTAGTATTATTTTAGAATTTCGTTAAAATTATTTTGTTTCACAAGACTGTTTTGTTCTTCTTTACAGATGGGTTTACTTGATGCACTCATTTCTTGGCTAGGGATCAAACGCAAAGATGTGAACGTTATCGTTGTTGGTTTAGACAATAGTGGTCAGTATTCGAACTGCTAAAATTCTACGTTAGTAAATTACAAGATTAAAATATATAGATTAAGGTATCAGCTGGCTTTAATAGACTATGATGATTAATTTAAATACTTTGGTCATATGTGTAAGAAATGAGCTATATCGAGAATAAATTCTCTACTATCAGTTTAAAATGGGCATGTGAAACTTAATAATTAATTAATATTTCATCAATTTGTTTAGGAAAATCGACATTGTTAAATTATTTACGACCAAAAGAAGCTCAAAGTCATGATATTGTTCCAACTGTCGGTTTTAACATTGAAAACTTCTATTGTAAAGGTCTCTCATTTTCGGCATTCGATATGTCAGGACAAAGTCGTTATCGAACATTATGGGAAAATTATTATAAAAAAACTCATGGAATTATATTTGTTGTTGATTCATCTGATCGTCCACGACTTGTTGTTGCCAAAGATGAATTAGATCAATTGTTAACTCATCAAGATATTCGAACTCGAAATGTACCACTGTTATTTTTCGCAAACAAAATGGATTTGAGAGATTCTCTATCGGATGTGGGCGTTTCATCAGCACTTGGACTGGATGAAATTGAAAACAAATCGTGGCATATCTGTAGTAGCAATGCATTAACTGGAGTTGGAGTGCAAGAGGGTATTGAGTGGTTGAGTTCGGCCGTGAAAGCATCACTCGAGCAAGCGAAAAGATGAGAACACTTACTAATCAAAACGAAAAATTTGGATCTAAAGAATGAGCTGACAAAACTTATAAGATGTACCTAGTCTTTGTTGGATGTAATTGGTGAGTATTCTTGAAAAATTTTGTAGAAGAGGTTTTTATACTTCTTCTGACACGTTTAACAAACTTACACCGAGAAAAGTGACAGCTAATTTTGTGATATATACATACATATATATTTCAATATTTTTTTATGTACAAGGTCTTTTTTTTGATAAATCAATGTATCTCTAGCTTTTGTAGATACTTTTATTGTGCAATTTTTCTTTTGATATAATATTAGACCTTTTTCAAAAATGTATTTTTCATATTCTATAAAGCAATCCTATTATACGGTAATGAATTAGAACTGTACGGTTTTTAGTTGACTTACAGAACTTACTGACGCAGAAAACTGACATAGGTGCAACATTCTGCTTTCTATCAAAAGAATAACATTATACCTCTTCTAAAAGCGATCTTCTTGAAATTTCTTGAGACTATGCGGAATTGATCAAAGATAACATATTTTTCTGTGTATAGTGCATTCTTATAAATTTCATCGGTAAAACTGTCTTTTTTATATTGTGGGATTACTGAAAAAGCGTGGACTGAAACTGAAAAAATTTCGCGAAGTTGTATTGATAAGATCATAAAATAGTTCATCTCCATCGCTACAGCGTTTACAAGTATTAAATCGTCTACCACTAGAAACTATCTGTTCATTTTTACATAAAAAAAGAATTATCTCTAACAATTCAATATGATATATGCTACGGCCACAGTTTTCCCATTACTATGTCAGTATTATATAACAAGATGCGCGACGATAAAGCGGAATCACTTTTTGGCACTCCGACTAGTTAAAACTGGAGTTGAAAGTATTTTTATACCCGTAGTCTATTTACTAGTTGTTAGCTTATACGATGAATTTTTTATTCTGTTTGCTTACAAATCTTTTTAAGACGTCTGATTTTGCAGCTACACAAACGTGCTTCAAAGACGAATACATTGTGGAATTTCAACGAGGTCTCGATGATCTAATGTGCATAGAAAAGGGGTTTGTGCATTTTTTTGAAGTCAAACATCCTATTTTCATTAATGTTGTATTTATTCAAGCGTAATACAAATCTTGCAAGATACGATGTTTTGTTGTAAAATCTTTCTTCACGCTTTTAAAATAGAATTTCACAAGATATAGAAAAATCTTGTATGATCTTAGGATATTCTGAGACCATGTTTTACAAGAACTTATAAGAATTATGAAAACATATCGTTTGAGGTTTGTAAGAAAGCTACAAGTTCATATGGGATCTTAAAAGTTCTTACATTACTTTGTATTTGTAAGAATCTCGTCCCAAGATTCCATTATACGGGTTCTTTCATTAGAGAATCTAATCTTTATCCCAATGAAAGCCTAGATAAAACGGCCTTACTGATACTTTTACAATTTAATTCGCTAAAAATTCGAAACAGAATTACTAAAAATATTAAACTTTATTAGATTGTTTGACGACAATATAGGACAGAAAAAAATATTAGGTTAGAGTCAATCACTGTAACAAGTACTGATTTTGTTCTATATTTTAGGGTGCAAGACGGTTCTATTCTTCTGGTCTGAAGTAGTCTTCGATTTTGAGTGAGTTGTGAATGTTTTGATTTTCGATGAAAATAGCCAAACATGGACTATTTCAACTAATACAGGTTCTCACTAGGCTTTCGAATTTTGTTTCGAAAACAAACATTGTCACGAGATTCAACATAGTCAATAATCTGTTCCATGTGTTTTTAAGATTCCCTAAGTCAAAGATTTCAAAATTCGAGGCTCTCCGGAGCACTCCTACCGTATGGTAATGTTGATAGATGGAGATCGTGGCCTTTCTTGAAGTTGTAGTAGAGACGATGGACGTTCGAATTCTCCTATGGGAACTGAAAAAATGTTTTTTCTTAGCTAGCGAATCTACTCTTCCAAAGAGCGATGTGGTACACCATCTAAAGGTGGTACTTTTAACGGACGTCACAGCTACCTTGATGCAGTTAGGTCCTAGCTTATCAACAGTGAAAATCGCACATTTTTCAGCACGCTCCTGTAGAACATTATTCAAATAATAGCCATGCGCACTGTATTATGAAATAGATTGTAGTTCTAGACTTAATGCATATTTATTCCCTTTAAGTCACTCTAGTAATAACCACATAAATATCTTATCCTACTCCCTATAGGATAAAAGCTGACTTTTACTTTATTCTCACAGTCTTTGCAGACATTTTTCAGTACTGTCTTTTTATTATATCCTAAAATAGTTAATCGTTGATACTTGAAAAAATGAAGTGATACAAGTAAAAAGATAAAAAGATAAAATAGCAGAAAAATGATGATAGAAAAAAAATATATTAAAAAAAAGAGTGATAAGAAAAAATTATAGTTAAAATTCTAGTATGAAATAGAAATATTCGAAAAAATTTTATAGAAAAGTGTAAAAGCAATTATATCGAAACGCAGTTAAAAATCGATAAAGATGTCAGTGGAATGTTCACATACAAACACACACATACACACACACTTATAAAATGATGTTAAAAAAATAGATAAACATCGTTTATATAAAAAAAAATAGAGAGGCGTAGATATCAAAATGTATTTGTTTCTACTGATAGAGTCAGATGTGAATTTCTTTTGAATAATGAAAAGATGCATCAATAAAACTAAAGACTACAACTTCTAATTTCAAAATTATTAATTTTACTACAACTGTTTTAGTTTAACTAAGATAGGAAGACAGACGCAGACAAATTATTGAACAACAATGGAACGAAAGAAAGTAAAAAAAAGACGTACAATAAATAGAAACTAAACTATAGACTTGACATGAAATATTGTTTAAATCAATAAATTGTAAAAGATATTTTGTTGAGTGAATAGAAAGAGAGACTAAACACCAATAAAGAAAGATACTACTGCGCATTAGTTTAAAAAATAATTTAGTAGTGTTATAAAATACGTTTTAATATTAATATCACAGTTAATCATAGTGGACAAAACGATAGAAAGAGAGAGAACACAGATATACTGATTTTTGAATATCTCAGAAAGCATATGGACTTTATTTTATCATACAACTGCTTTTATGTTATGACTTGTTAATAGATCCACATCGTTTGCAAATTTAACATATGGTATTCCAAAATATTCCCAATGTTCGTATGGCCAATAATGTAAATTTAATTGAATTTGTGGATAATTTTGTTTAATAATTAAATATGAACATATGACAATAGCTTGATTACTACTGAATATAATTAATACATGCCAAATGGCATGTAAATAGGGAAATGAAATACTTAACCAAAATGGACAAAATACTCGATCACATATCCAAATAGTAACAGCTATTGTCCATAGTACTAAACATCTAATGCCTAAATCTTTAATTCGACGATTATCACATCTAAATAAATAAATAAAAATGGTTAATAAAAAAATAATGTAAAAATATTTCATATTTCTAGACATTTCTAACCTTGCTATATGTGTACCCATAAACGCAATGGCTGGTAAACCAAGTAACATTAGAGCAAATGCATTTGCATAAGGATATACAACGGATAAAGATGTTATTACTATCGCTATTATAATACATCCGTACACAAATCGATACCTAAACAAAAAATTTCAAAAAATATTGAGTTCGGAATAATGAATATATAAAGAAAATGAAGTATTTTGTCTCCAAAACATACGAAACTTTTCAATATATCATTTAGTTTTTATTTTATATCGTGTTAGATTAATTAAGCGTTTTGATATTATGGTATTAAATGAGATAATGTAGATTTTGTTCACACTAAATAAGTTATAAAATGTATAAATTGTTAACAATGCGTATATAAGTTAAAAAGCTTATTCTTATTTTCAGTAACTTTAAAGTATAAAATGTCATGCTTTCTAAACTATTAACAATATATAAAATTTCTAAAAATAATTCTAATATTTTCGTGCTCATTTTAGAAGGCATTTTTCTCTACTTAACTGTGTGTTATTATAGGATGGCATTGTTTTAAATGAATTGTAACGAAATGAATGCATACATAAAAAATCAAAACTGACCGTTGTAAACGCCATGATTGGGGAAGATAGATTGACGGTAAAAATAATGCATATCCCGCCATCAATACCCACAGTATGCATATTTCATCTAGTAGCTGCCCAGCCTAACATAAAAAGTAGAATATATTTAATCAAATTGAAATATCTTCGTTTAATTATAAACTTACAAGGCTGAGCGTCGCATGAAAATATAAACTTCCGATGCCAACAAAAATAAGTAAAATCCATAAGATAAGAATACTATTTGATGCTTTTTTTGTATACGGTCGAAATAAGGCGATCATTAACGGTGGAATGAGAAAAAAGAAAACATTTGAAACCTAAAAGTAATTAAAAACAATTGATATATAGAAATCGAAGTATCACAAATTGAAAAAATAAAGCAAAACAGCCCGTGAATATAGTCGACTATAAAGAAAATATTTGCAGTTTTTTTAATGCAAAATAACAGCATTGATCAAAACATTTGAAATATCAAAATATTCAAATACTTATCACCCATTAGTATTTGGCTAATTGTATGAAATGGTGAATAAAAATTGATCAAGCAATTTCAATAGCTAAAGCAAACCGTTCCATTGCATTCTCATAGATTCTACTGATAGTACATTTGAGCTATAATATTCGTGCTAGCAAATAATACTTTTGCTAAAACAACTCAGCTCATATTAGTGAAACTAAAATACAAACACACGCACACACACACCGATACATGTAATGGGAGCGAGCGGTCGCATGCTTTGAAAAAAAATTAATTATGGAAGGATACCGTATAAAACTATCATGCATAGCATAACCCAGATAATATATTTACACACGTCTGTCGTTACCTTTTAGCATAATGGAGTTAATAGCTTCCTAAAATTGAATTTTGTTAGTTTTAGTGCCATTTCCACACACAACATAAGTGTATTAAACTGTCACAATACACATATTTTATTATTCTTTTTTTTTTTTGGTTAAAAAAATTATATTTTAAAACAGTTTAGTATAATACCGTATTGTAAAATTCGGCAATTGATTCAATAACGGTATAATTTGGTTCACACCAATCAACATTACTTGTACCAGGATAAAATGGATTTTTATTAACCATAATTTCTTATTCAAATAAAGACATCTGGCATACTCTACAAGAAAAGAACATTATGTATGCATAGTTCAGAACTCATTCGTATACCTATCACAAATTTAATCTGAACGCAAGATAAAATGTTTTATGTTCAGAAAAGCATGTACTAAAAAAAAGAGAAAATACTTTACCAAAGCATAAGTTTAGTTCAACTAAGCACAAAAGTATTCTCTGATATAATTTTATGAAACACACACATTCGAGAAAAGAAAACGGAAATTATGTTACTCTGGATATAGTCATAAGAAAATACTCGTCATGAATAACAATGTTTTTTTTCGCCATAAAATTTCTATTTAATGAACTAGAATAAATATAAAATAGGAGTAAGACATGAATGAAATTTCTTGATATAATTCAAATCAAACAAAGTTCGAACAGAAAAAAAACAGCAATAAACATCCGCAAAAAGCATTGTACTTCAACTTATCTGAGAAATTTTCTTGATAAACATAGCTACGTTTTCTTTTCAATTATTTTGTTACAACAATGGATAGCATCCTGTGATATATTTGAGATAAAATGGCTTCAAAAAAAGAAAAAAAATTAGAAAATATATTTTGAATATTTAGAAACTTTGTTTGACTGAAAGAAAAACAAATTAAGAAAAGCAAACGAACAGATCAATTGATCAATTGAAAACTTATTGTACTGATGAGATTTTGTACAATTGTAAATAACTCCCTATCGTTCATTATATTCAATCTTAGAAGTAAATTGCACTAGAGGGCACTAATTGCCTGAAACCATGCTTTTGTCTTGAAGTAATATTATTAAATTACAGTTGAATCAATTGCAAGCTAGCTTTATTGGAACAAGAGATAATGTGAATTCAAAGCTAAGCTTTCTTATTAGATTCGTATTTTTTTCTCACTATCTCAGGTATCGATTTAACGAAGATTGTAATTATAAGTCCTTTTCTCGAAATAAATAATTAAAAATCATTTTCATCACGTGTGACAACAATACATTTCATTGATAAGGAGTAGTGTCAATTTCAACTAACAAATGTCTTCTAAATACTCAAGAAAAAAAAAAACGCAAAATTGTCTAACTAAATATTCTTAAATTAATTAGAACTGAAATTTCAAGAGATTTTCTCTTCTTATCTATCCTGTAATCAAAACCGGTGAACAAAGTCTAGAATAACAGAACAACACACCGTTACTCGTCTAAATGTGAATAAGTAGAATCAACATTGATGATTATAAAGAGAATCTTAGAGATTTCATTTTCTTCCAATTATTATTGTGCTATACTAGTACAATGTGATCACGCTTTAAGTATAGTTTAGCATCACACAGATCACATAATCAATATAAGAGAAACAACATTCAAAATTCATAAAACTAACACGTTCACAAACAATTCCTAATATAAAAGCAATAGATGTCTGTGATATGTAATATAATGTAGAAAAAACAACCAAGTTTCAATGGGATACAATCATTTCTATGTTCGTTATAAATACTCCTAGAGGTGATTCCACTAATAAAGAGATTTTGAATTAGCATGGTTAGTGTCTTTTTATGACGATGAGTTTTTTCATCAAAAGCTATCTGATTCATTTAAAAATATTTATATTATCCTTATTAGGCATATTCTTATAATTTCAAGATAATTATAGACCGTCGTTATATAATTATATTAAAATCATTTAATAATTGTTCATCTTATGTTGTTTTAACTTACAGAGAAGGACGACGAGTACGAGTACTACTCGAGTACAAAATTTACGATACTCGTCCTCGGGATTCTTTTAATGATTACTTAAAAATGTGCTTGAATCCTTAGTCTTAAAAACCTTGTTCCTAGAAGTTATTATATCATTTTTTCATTAACTCACGTTACTCACGTTTTGTGAACGTGCATAGAATGAGAATTGATTGGTATAATGAAGAAAATTTTAAAGAAGAAAGATGTTACCTAGTTTAATACACTAGAATAATCTTTTTAAGAAGAACTACCGAATATTTATCTTTGAAATGCAGTCGTTTGTCAGATATTAAATTTACACACTTGTGCACTATCTCCAGAATATGTGTTTGTCAAGGTCACCTCCCTGACAACGATTAAAATGATGGAAGGCAAATGCGTCCTTTGATACTTTAATTTATTTATTTTAACGAAGTCAAAGTTTTTATTCCTTTTAGCGTAACATTAACCAATAATAAATTTTCCGTCTGGCATACACCGAAACTGTCAATATCGTTGATTTCAAGCATCACATCTCATTATCGTTTGGATTTACGCCTGTGCGTTTCGTCATTTTTTTTACAGTATTCTTCTGTAATAATGAAAAGAAAGTTTATGTTTTTTTCTGTTAGATTCTAATGAAATAAAGACTAAACAAATAGTAGAAGAATCTTAGACGAATGATAAAAACCATCAAGATGTTACACCTAAAGGTCTCCGCGTACGACTGAGATTTTTTCATAATAAATGAGGCTGCATAATTTCTTGCAAACCATTTTTGATGATTAAAATATAATTGAACTAGCTTAATTAATGCACTGGCTTGCTGACAAAAGCGAGCGAATCTTGAGTTATGGTTCTAGATTAGCTGCGTCCGAAATTCAGCACTGCATTTTTGTGCTTAACGTTTTTCTTTCTAATCATCATTGGTGCATTCTTCTTCTTTTTATTTAACTATTGCTGACTGAAATAATCTCCCAGAGTCATTTATTTGTCTTTCTTCTTTAATCTCATTCAAAACAGCTTTATGTCAGTATCTCTTCCAGTGAAACATTTGTCAGTTAAGAATTTATATTTGTTTTTTTTGCTTATTTCTTTTATTTTTTATTTTCTCAAAAATTTGTTCTTTTTTTGCTACTTCTGGTCCTAACCTTAGTTGTCTTGTTTATTTTATTCTTTTTTATTACTTTTTTTGTATTGTTTGGCTTGAGTCATTTATTACAGGTCAGTGACCTTTGGTGACTCTCACTTTTCGTGAATAAAACAGTCTTAGGTAAGAGCTGTATGTCGGCATCTCTTATAGTAAAACTCAGTCCTGCGTTTTCTAGAAGTAGTCTTTATTTATTTACTCTGTTTTCATTTGCTTGTTTTCAATTATCTTTGCACTATACTCTGGCTTTTTTACTTTGTCTATTTATTGTGACGTTTTTGGTCGTATGACCTGATTCATTATTTTAGATCGGCAATCTGTAAGTTTTTACCTTTTTTTAAAAATTATTATTATTATTAAGAGAAAGTAGTCACATGCGATTATTTTAATTTATGTTGAATTGAACCATCGCATGTTAATACTTTGTCGATTTATCCTATTCCTGGAAAAGTTTTTGTTTTTATTTGGATGGATACTCTTTTTTACACATTTCGACTATATATATATATTTTTTAATTTATAAGGAACTGTTTTTTTATAAAAATACGACAAATAGTTTAGGCTTTTCGTTGTTCAGTGGAGTTGAATGGCGCCTTCGTCTAAATATTTTTTTAAAAAATCCAAATAAAAATGAATTTGAATTTAAAAAATGAAATTGAAAATGAATTCTTAAAGAACCTAAAAGAAAAAATCAGTGAAATATCTGAAGAAAAACTATAATAAGTTTTGACAAATTTATCTGTTTCATTTCTCTTTTATCCACTTTTGATTGACAACCGTCATACCCTTAGCCATCCTAAAAGGACATTTGGTCGATGAGTACAAACCAAAATCATAATGCAAAATTAACACACAAATAATTAATAGTCAGTGCAGCACTGATTTTTAACAAAGCGATACTGAGTAGCATTGGCTGGACAGGAATACCCATCGATCTTTAGCAGTGTCCATGATGGCATCTCATTTACATCCGTAAACATGACAACGCTACTTTTATTTTATCAACACCATTTGAATAGGTAGCACTACTTTGGTGATGTTCGTCTGCATGTTCTCGACCTATTATGCATGCAACTTTATGCAACTCCTTTCCCGGACTTAGTGGCAGGATCTCCAAAAACCTTCAGTTTTTTGACGTAGTTTGCATTTTTTTCCGGCGCAGAGCCGCTTCTATTAAGAAATAATGCGATATTCGGAATCAGCGTGAAAAACCGCATCGAATGATGTGTAGGTGGAAATCTTTTTGAATTTTTCGAGAATCTTGCCTGGAAAAGGCCTTTTAGTCTGGCAAAGTATCAATCAGCTAGCGTCAGAAATGTGTTTTTTCCGCAGTGTGGAAGGTTACAAAAACTTTTCCATATAGGTTTTCGTGTGGGCTGGTTACAAAAAACGATTTTACAAAGTTTCGCAGCGGTTTCTTGTGGGGTTTCCAGAGATTAGATCTCTAGAAACCCTTTTAAAACCCCCTTTTCGGCCTGGAAAATCAGTCCGTTGAAAGAGCACATATGAAAACCTAGTCGAAAAAGCTTTACAGACTTCCACGTTACTTCGAAGCCGTATGTCGGCCTGTCCTAGTCAAAAATGCTTACTGCCTCAACCATCCTACTTTATTGTCAAAAGAAGTACAGCTTCGTGCTCTGTTTGTGTTTTTTAGAGTATAATACTGTCTATCAGAGCATATTTTGTTCCTAACGCAATCAAAGAAAAAGCAAAGATAATAAATAAATAACTACATACGTTATGCTAAAAAAGGTCCGAACGAAAGTTTAAAATTATATTTTTGAATTCAGTCTTTTTTTTTTTCTGATTTTTGATCATGTTGAGTTTTCTCCATATTTTCATCTTTTTTCTTTTCATCATTTCGTTTTTTCTTAATTTGAACAATTTCTTCGGCCGATGTTGGATGAATTCCAGCCGTACTATCAAATAAATCTTTCGTTGCTCCTGCTCTGATAGCCACAGAACACATTTGAATTATTTCGGGTGCAGCATGATCGATCATATGAATACCCACTACTTTTTCTGTCTTTCGTTCCACAATTAATTTAACATATGATTTTCGGTCTCGTTTTGGAAGATTGACAAACATTGGTTTAAAACTACTCTCATATACGTCATAATTATCTTTACCTAAGTAAGAGATTCTATAATTATATCTTTTGAAGTAAAAGAAAAAGTTTACCGAATTTTTCTTCTGCTTCTTTTTCTGTTAGGCCACATACGCCTACTGCAGGTTCAGCAAAAACTGTTGTTCCCACATTTTGATAATCGACCACTTGTTTCTTATTTTGTTTCCCAAATACACTGTTAGCAAAATATTGCCCCTCTTGAATGGCTACTGGTGTCAGATTTTTTCGGTCTGTAACATCGCCAATTGCATAAATATTATCAACATTTGTTTGACTAAATTCATTTACTTGTATAACACCTTTTTCATTACATTTGACACCTACAGCATCTAAACCTAATTTTTCTGTTTCTGGTTTCCGCCCGACGGCGAACATAACTAAATTTGTTTCTGTTGTTGAACCATCTTTAAATTTAACAAGAAAATTATCTTCTTGTTGTTTTTCAATAGATTTAATTTCGGTTTCAAATCGAATTTTAATACCACTTTTCTTCAATTCATCACTTAACTTTGCAGAGATATCTATTGATTAAAAGAGAAATATGACATACTCAGCGATAAGTAAAACGAGAAAAAACAGACCAGTATCAAAACTTCTTAAAATTGATTTTCCTCGTACAATGAGTATCACATCACTCCCAAAACCATTAAATATGCAGGAAAATTCAGTGGCTATGTAACCACCTCCAACAATTAAAATATTTTTTGGTAATTTTTCTAAATGAAATGCATCATCCGACGTAATCATATGTTCATGTCCTTCGATCCTTGGTCTAACTGGTGTACCTGAAAGATATAGATCGACGTATCGATTAACTATTCAAAGTTTGTGTACTATATTTTACCTCCTACAGCAACTAATATATAATTTGTCTTGTAATCTTTTCCGTTAACCACAACGGTATGTTTATCTTTGATTGTTGCATGTCCTGTTGTAATTTCTACATTATTGTCACGTAAACCTTTTTCTTGCATCTCATTCAAACGGTGAATTTCATCATTTTTATTCTTAATAAATTTTTGCCAATTGTGATCATTTAGTTTAAAATCGATGGTAGGCCATCCATAAGCTGAGGCATCATGAAACAATTCACGAAACTGTGAAGCATAACAAAATAATTTCTTTGGTACACATCCAGCATTCACGCACGTACCACCTAAAAGATAAATAGAATAATTAAATTAAATTAGATTGTCTTACTAAAAAAGATTAAAAATTTACCCAATTTTTTGTCTTCAGCTAGTGCAACTCGAGCTCCATTTTGTGCTGATATTTTACTAGCTCGAATTCCACCTGATCCACCACCAATAACAAATAAATCATAATCATATTGTTTATTTTCTGTTGTTTTCTGATTACTACTCATTGTAAATGTTCGAAATAAAATATGATATGGTTTCAATCTGTTCTATCGAAAAAGAGATGTAGAAAACAATTTTAATTGACAACGAATTTATTTTACTTACGGTTGAACCTTTGACAAAGGAAAATAGCAAAGACGAATGGTGTTAAGAAGTTTTAAAGGCATTCATTGAAAATGAAAGTTAGTACCTTAATAAGCAAGAAAATATAAGAAAAAACAAATCATTTTCTTCGTCTTCTTTTGACAAACAAATAACATCAAAAGATCAGTTGTTATGATGAATAGTAATATTTTTTTCAAATATGGTTACTATACAACAAAACTAACGATCAATTTAAACAGTTTTAAAAGAATATCTTTTGTTACTTGACATCAAAATTTAGGTTAAGAAGGTCGGATTAGTGAATAGATATTTTTAGTACAAAGGTCTCCTTTTCTCAGCGTTATAATAACATAATAATAGGTGTCTTTGAAATACTAAATTCCAGTTTTGTTTCTTATTGTATTTTTTAGGCATTAAAATAAAATCTGAAGACACCGTTCTAGCGACAAAAAATCAACAATTTGCTGCTCTACAAAGTATGATAGTTTTTATACTAAAATATTGTTTCCTCATTAAAAAAAAACTATAAAGAGTGCAGTCCATCCAGGAGGTCCAACAGGTTAGATAATATTAGTTAAGTTGTACCTCGAATCCATGTATCTTTTTCTTATTATGTGCATCGTTGTTATTCATTAGATATGCACAGCGCAACCATTTTTTTACAAAACTATCTACGTGAAATCACAGCAGAACCTTGTAGATGGCTTAACTCTTTATGATTTCGATGAAACAATGTTTTAATACACAAAAACAATAAGATTCAGTAAAGCAAGAAATGCTCCGTTGTTTACTATTAGAACTTCACCTTTTGCACATACATAGAAGAACATTATAGCATCAGAATATGAATCACCTAAACATTAAAAAATAAAACAGAAGAAAAATTAACATCTGTATTTCGACAAAAAACATACAGCCACTTGACAAATATAGAGAAAAAATATATCACTTCCATTTTATGACGAACAATTCTTATATAACCAAAAAATAAGTGAAAACTATAGGTAAAACAAACACAAAAAGAAATTTTAACTTCAATAACTTTTAACCTGAGAATTAGGGGTGTCATATTACTGTTACTTTTACGAGTAATCCAAATATTGTATATATTCCTAATACTGTTACTTTGAGTAGGAATATATACAAGATTTGAATCACTCGTAAAAGTAACAGTAATGTGCCACCCCTACTGAGAATAACAGTGATCTGGTTTGAAGGAAAATGAAAAATAAAAAACAACTAAGAATGGGTATTTGGAGATACATCTTCATGAGAAAATGGAGTATTAACCAGATCTGGTGTTTCAGGTTTGACATCGGATTGAGATTGTTGCTGTTTTGGTAATTTCGATAAAACATTTTTTAATTCATGACAGGCCGCCTATGTGAAAAAAGATCTTGATGAAAACGTGAAAAAGTTTTAAAACGAAAGTATGATACCCATATCAAGCCAAGATAAGGTGGTGATGGTTTCATTGGTCTACTGATATATTCTGGATGAAACTGAACACCAACAAAATATGGATGATCTTAAGTAATGAAAAATTTTTGCAGAAGTTGTTAAAGATACGAATCAAACATACTTTCAAGTTCCATTATTTCCATACGTTCATTGTCTTCACTTCGTCCAACAAATTTCATTCCTTGTTGTTCCAATTCAGTAACAAACTCGGGATTTACCTGTTAGCATAATCAAGTGAAAATCACGGTTATTGAAGATAATTTGATTGAAATACTTACTTCGTAACGATGGCGATGTCGCTCATCAATTGATCGGACGTTCCCATATAGTTTTTCTAAAATTCAAATATATATAGAACAACGAATGATGATACTTTTTAATTTTATATGAATACTAACTAATGACGCTATTTTCAGTGGCAAAAACGGTTGTTCTTCGACCGAGTCTCATTGTTGCTCCCATTGCACCTGGATTATGTTCTGGCATTTCAATAATCTAGACAAAATAAATTCACGTTAATAATAATAAAAACAAGCAGTAAAGTATGTTACCACTGGATGTTCACTTTTTCCAAATTCAGCTGAATTAGCTCCTTTATGATTAAGTACATGACGAGCAAATTCAATAACAGCACATTGTAAACCGAGACAAATACCTAAAAGGATAGAAATTTAGTTGTTTTATAATCTGATATTTTCTTAATATACCTAAGAACGGTTTTGGTTGTGTTCTTGCCCATTCAATGGCCGAGATTTTTCCTTCAATACCACGCGATCCAAATCCACCCGGTACCAAAATTCCTTGTGCACCACATAATAATTGCCATGCTTCATGGTACTTGACCGGATCTTCTTTCTGTGTATTGGCTTCCAAATCTGATGCATGAACAAACTTAAGCAAGCAAAATAGAAATGTTTCATTTTAGCAGAGCTAAATATGTTTAAAAACACGTACTCGAAGAATTAACTTTCTATTACAGTACAATGCTGCATGATTTAGAGCTTTGACGACTGACGCATAGGAATCTTCTAAGCCGATATATTTTCCGACAACAGCAATAACAACTTCATTTACTAAACGTTCACTCCTAAAGAAAATACAGTACTACAATCACGATAATGCTGGCTAACACAATTCTTGATCAGAAATATTCTGTCATTTTTTTCATTCTACGCAACCTCATTAAACTACGTAATTTGGATTCTAACGTATGATCTAACAAGATACGAAGCGACGTAGTATGACGCGTCTCGTCTATTCTTCTTCTACCCATATTTCAAGGTGTCAGTAACAGGGATGCTGCACAGTTGATTACTCATTATGTTATAAGTACTCTCGGTTAAGAGTAAGCATCAACATATTTTCTTTTTTTTGTTTACAAGAAAATCTACTACCGCTCGCTTTTCTATTCTTCTCGCTCTCTTTCACTAACTTTGTTTCCAAATCCCGCGGTATAAATTCATGACTCTTCATATCAAAACGCCTTTGTCTGTTGAGTTTACTTCCAAAGTCAAAAATTGAGGCTCAGAATTCAATCAATTGCTCAGGTCATGACGATAAGTCAGTACGTTTTAATCTTAAATTCAACGGGGTTATGTCTCAGAACATTTTGTGTGTCAAAACTTACGTATTTTTGGCAAATCAGATATTCACTCTCGTTTTTAAAATTTTTCGATTTACTCCGAAATCAGGGAATCTCTCCCTGCTTCTTGTACTTCGCGGCGTCTCTAGTCAGTAGTAATATTAAATAGATTTTAAACATTTTCTTAACGAACTATATTTTTTTCATTGGATATATTACGATTATGGGTATATGTGTCATGCATGGCTAGTTTGGTCCATTTTCTCTCCATTATAACTTTCGCATTTAGTTACACATATACACACGCAAGTGTCAGATCAATATCCTTACCAATAATGTATCTAATGATCTAAGATCCGATTGTTCCATTTTTAGATAGACGAATCTCTGGTGCTACCCATAATGCTAATCGTTTATCATCATCAGTCCATTTTTACCTATTATTATTGTAATATTTGGTATTTTTTTGCTTATTAGAATGTCATTGGGCAATAGAGTCCCGTGACTCAAGCCAATATTAATTCATCATTATCTCATAACCTTCGCATTTATTCTCACAACGTACAAAGTCTGGTTAAATACTTTAGTCTCATTCGTGGCGAAACTACTACTTCTTTCAGAGACTTTGACATTATCTCGTTTCAAGAGGACCAACCTGAACACTGTCATTAGCGATAATGAATTATTTCTTAGTGGTTACTCAATAGTATGGAGTTATGTTCCACTGATGCCAGTTCACTCTTCTTCTTCTCTTCTCGCTCCTTCTCTAAAACTTGCACGTCTTATCTTTACTCGTAACCATTGTTTTCGGAAACTAAAACGTCGTTACACTCCTTCTGATCTTGCTGAATTTCGTAAAGCAAGGAATCTTGTTCTCTTTATCTACCGTCGTGAAAAATCTTCTTATCTTCGCTCACTCTCTTCTTTATTTTCGGATCCTCGCCAGTTTTGGAGCTCTATAAAAAACCTGTCTTCTTCTCACTCTTCTCTTCCTCAGTCTATGTTTCTAGGCTCCAAATCTGTTTTCACAGATACGGATAAAGCTGAACTCTTCAACTCTCATTCTTCTTGCTATTCTTCAGGGTCAAATTCCTCCCTCTGCCACTGTAGACTTGCCAAAGATGGATAAAAAGCTCGACTTCTCCGTGCGTGATGTCGAAAATCTACTCCGGAAGTTGGATAAAAATTTTGCTGTTAGTATTGATGGAATCCCCTCTTCCTTCCTCTCTTCATATGCTGACATCCTTTCACCTCATCTTCATTTCATCTTCCATCTATGTCTCTCTTCTTGCAATTTTCCTGCCCAATGGAAAATTGCACACGTTGTTCCTATTCATAAAAAAGGTGCTCTTGCTGATATTTCTAACTATCGTCCGGTTTCTCTTCTTCCCGTTGTTTCTAAAGTGTTTGAGCGTTTAATTTATAATTTTATTTTTTCTCATCTCACTAAGCATTCCTTCTTTGCAAATAAACAATTCGGTTTTCGCCCTAAACGCTCTACTCTCGACGCCTTGTTATTTCTGTCTTCTACTGTTTCTAACTTTTGAAATGCTGGTGTGAAGTGTGTTGGTGTGTCTTTTGATTTCTCTAAAGCGTTTGACTCTGTCTCTCACTTTTTCTGTTAAAAAAATTGTCTTGTTGTGGTGTGAATGACTGTTTGCTCTCTCTCTTGTCATCTTACCTCTCCAATCGTTTACAGTGTGTGCGTGTGATTGAGTCTATCTTCTCTCCTTCTCCTGTTTCTTCTGGCGTACCTCAAGACAGTGTGCTTGGGCCGCTTTTATTTCTTATTTTTATTAATGACTTGCCACTTTCTCTTCCATATAATTGTGAAATCTGTCTTTTTGCGGATGATGTCTTTTTAATTGTACCTCTTTGTCCCTCGGATCCTTTTAATTTCTCTCATGTTCAAACCCGTATAAATTCTGTCTCAAATTGGTCTATTTCTAATCTCATGTCTCTCAATGCGTTTAAATGTTCTTGGCTTCCTTTTAGTTTCGATCCTTTCCCGTTTGTTTACAATCAGCTGTATCTTAATAAAGTCCCCCTTTCCGTTATGTTTTCTGTTCGTTGTCTCGAAGTTCTTGTTTCGCACGATCTAGGTGGAATGATCATGCCAGAGACATTGCTCTTGCTTGTCGACACAAGCTAGGCGCACTGAGCCGTGTCTTTGGACTTGCTCCCTCAGCGGTTCGACGTCGAATCTATCTTTCTTCTATTCTTCCTAAACTTGATTACTGTTGTGCCTTATATGATAGTTCCTTTTCGCTTTCCGTACTTGATTCTGTAAATAATCTTGCTTCTCGTGTTATTTCTCCTAATTTTGACTATCGCTTTTCTAGCTCTTTACTTGTGTCACAACTTTCTCTTCCAAACCTCTCTCTTCGCCGTAAATATTTTCGACTAGTGCAGTTTTTCAAAATTTACCATCGTCTTAGTCCTCTTTCTGTCTTCTACTCTATTCATCGTCCTCATTTACGCTGTCATCATTCTAAATATGTTCGCATTCCAACCTCTGTCAATGATTTTCCTTCTCAAACAGTTTTCTCTTCTTTTTACTATTCAACTATTACTGACTGGAGTAAACTTCCTGAGTCAGTTATTTGTTTTTCTTCATTAGCGTCTTTCAAAAAGGCACTAGTTCAATATCTCTTACAGAAAAATATCAGCCGTTTTCTTAGTCATAATTAACTGGTATTGGTTGTTTCTCTGGAGTTATTTTATTTGTGTCTACCTTTTATTGTTACTTTTATATACTCGTTGCATATTCTAGTCTCTTTTTCTTTTCTTTTGTTTACTTCTGTTATTATCTTTAGTTTTATTTATTTATTTTCCCTATCTCTTTTTATTCTGGTCTGAGTCATCGATATTACAGGTCACGGACCTTTGATGACTCTCGAGTGATTCGAAATAAAATAAATAACTTGTGTTCTTTTTTTTTATTCAACTATTGCTGACTGGAATAATCTCCCAGAGTCAGTTATTTGTCTTTCTTCTTTAACCTCTTTCAAAATAGCTTTATGTCAGTATCTCTTCCAGTGAAACATTTGTCAGTTAAGAATTTATATTTGTTCTCTTTTTGCTTACTTCTTTTTTATTTTTTTCAAAAATTTGTTCTTTTTTTTACTATTTCTGGTTCTAACCTTAGTTGTCTTGTTTATTTTGTTCTTTTTTATTACTCTTTTTGTATTGTTTGGCTTGAGTCATTTATTACAGGTCAGTGACCTTTGATGACTCTCTCACTTTTCGTGAATAAAACAGTCTTCTTCTGCTCTATATCCCGATCGACATGTAGATATCGTCGAAAAACATGTAGCCTAAACGGAATCTAAATTCGATTCTTTTTGATTAAAATTCGTTAGCGAAAAAATGATGTTAGCGGAAAGTTTTGATCATATCACACAAAAGAGCGTAAAAAGCTGCATCAGATTCTTTTTTCCTGTCAGCCACCTTTTTTTAAATAATTCATATTCTGCATCCAGATTAGGATATTTTACCTTTTTTACTAGCTATTTTTAACACTTTCTCGAAATATTTTGACATTTTCTCTTACTCTGGGCATGCATAAGACAGCGACATCCATTGATATATATATATATTATTAAAAATATTCAGGTGAAGTCACGCTCGTTTACCGTGATTCATCGTCCGCGCAGCGACGTAAACAATACTATTTACAAAAAAACTTTTCGGATGCGGAAAGTTTTCGCTCAAAAGTTTGAAGTGTTAAAATCGCGAAGCGTTTTCATTATCATTACTCAAGTTCTGGCGAATGATATGTTATGTTCTATATCATCTCTGCACTACAAGTGCCTCATTAAGGGGGTCCACCTCCAGCGAAATTGATGATTTTCATCGAAAACGTGAAATTGAGTTTCTTGCTCAGCTAGATAGGCCAAAGCCTCCTCTTTCAGAATATGTGTCGCTTTCTACAAACGAACTATTTTTTCATGAGGTTTTGAGAGATTTTCTATTAGCCACTCCGGTTTTCAGCCATTTTTTAGCTATTTTTCCTTATTTACCGTGGATAAAAAATCGTGTAATTTTGAGTGGTAAAGATGGTTATTTATTGTACTATTCCCTAATCATAATATCTGCTATTTTTGTCAGATATTTATTAGGTTTCTATCGATCAAATAACCTCTATGAGAGTAAAAGAAAGAGCCAATCACATATCACGTCTCCGGCGCCACAATACATATGTTTTAAAAAAGTTAGACGTAATTCAACCGATTATATCTGAATAGAAAGAACTTTCTTTTTGCTTCATAGATATGTATCACACTCCTGCATTAAAGCTTAGGTCTGATGTCACTATGCTCTTCAATCTTGTTTAACGTTTTTCTCAGAACATGGTTTTAGCGGCGCAAAATTGTATTCGCTCATAGACGAGTATTCGTGCAACCTTCGTCCTTGTTTTGTTGTGAAGCTAAGACATTTATCTAAATTTTGTCCGTAGCGATTTTTGAATCTCCCTTTTTTTGCGGAGATATGTAGCAAATACTCCGCCGAATTAGCGTTATTTTCAGAGCTCTGATTTAAAACACACATCGAGAATGAACGGAAGCGAGATTCAAAAAACCCTACGAACAAATTTCAGATTTAAGTGTCTATTTTTATTTAAGACCGCCCGCAGCTTTCTAGTCTTTCTACCAACATAGGCTATACATTTTTGCCAAGAGCCCCATTTTGCCCGTTGTCGCACAATAACATGGCAACGCTTCAACGTTTAGAGCCCAAATTTTCAGCATAAGTTACGTGCACAGTAAGTATTAATTCCTGTAAGCACCATCGAAATCGGACGTGAAATAAAAAGTTTTTTTCGCTGGGCGGGGCCCTTAAGTAGTTTTGGGCGGTCGTAAACTACGGCTCTACTGTAAGGAAACTATATCCCGATTGGGATATACAAAAAAGCAGATATCCTGATCGGAATGCATTTTTATATCCCGATTAGGATATGCTTCTCACTGTTGGGTCTCGGTTTAGGAATTGATGCAGCAGGATTAGTTAATAAACCTTAATTAGCTGATAGTATGTCGCGATTACGACAACAATATCAACGACTAGTCATTCAACACCACTCGTAATTGACACAAAATTACTTTTATGTATTATCACCTTTCTGTTAAATCTCGCCATTTAACCATTAACGATCGATCATAATCAGGTTTGAATTGTAAATTTAATCGTGAAGCTAAATATTTTGATATTTCATTTTCTTCCAACAGTAATGGAACACGATACAATGTTTTCACATCAGGTACACATATCACCTAAACATATACTTATATCAAGATCTATGTGAATATGTTGCTTTTGTTTTACCTGTTCTTTGTCCACATGACAAAACATAGATATTTTTTCTTTAGCTGCTGTTGTCATAGGTGTATCAGACCGACAAATAATCTTTGAAAAGAATCCATAGTAACATGCTGTCAGAAATTTTTAATTGCTTTGGAGTTTAAAGTTACTCTACTTACTAGATCAGGTGTTAAACCGAATCCACGTAATTCTCTTACGCTATGTTGAGTTGGCTTTGTTTTATGTTCACCAGTAGTACCGGGCTAAGAATAGAAAAAGCTTTAAGTATAATTGAAATAGTTCAAAGTAAAATAGAACTTACTTGTGGAATAAGACTAACATGAACGACACAAAAATTCTCTTTTTTAACACGAAATTGAAACTGACGAAATGCTTCGACAAATGGCATACTCTCGATATCTCCAATTGTACCTCCAAGCTAAAACAAAAAGTCATTTTCTGATGACAATAAAACAAAGCCACTTTGTTTGAAGAAGGTCATTATAAATTTATTTTTTGTAATTTGTTGTTTTTTTTGTAAAAAAAAAGTTAATTAGAAAGAATAAATTCAAATTACTAAATTAAACAGAAATCTCGAATGAATTTGTACATACCTCAATAATACAAATATCTGGATCTCCTTTATCTTCATCTACTGATATTCGTGCAACACGTTCAACCCATTCTTGAATAGCATCCGTAATATGAGGTACAACTTAAAAATATAATATTATATGCCTGAAGAAGAAAAAAATGGATGAATTTAAAATTCTCAATTTACCCTGTACTGTTTTTCCAAGATAATCTCCTCTTCGTTCTTTATCGATAACATATTGATATATCTTCCCTGTTGTTATATTATTTTCTCGATGTAGAGTGACATCCAAAAATCGTTCGTAATTTCCTAAATCTAAATCAACTTCACCGCCGTCATCCAGTACAAATACTTCACCATGTTCATACGGTGAAAATGTTCCAGCATCAATATTTATATACGGATCAATTTTAATTGATGTTACACGAAATCCTTGAGCGCGTAAAATTGTTCCAATACTACTTGATATTATACCTTTACCTAGAATACACAAATAAAATAGATTCAATTTTAAATTGATTATAAAATATAAGTTTGTACTTACCAATTCCTGATATCACACCTCCTGTTACCAAAACATATTTAATAGAATTACTTGCAGATTGTGCTCGGAACATCTATAATATCATACAAGATCATAGAAAATTTTGCAACTCTGACTAAAGAGGTGTACGACATAAATGGACTCTTCATTCGAGTTCAGAAATCAAAAATTTTTTATATGGTAGAATAATGAATTCTATTTAGATAAACTTTTCCCTCTATTGAACAAAAGTATTCTGTTAATTAATAATGATCTGATCAAAATATACTAACGTCAGTGAACGATTCCCTGTTGTTGTACACATCGTTTATGTTATAATTTGCTATATACCACATACCTAAACATCCCAAGCGTCGAAAAAAAAGTCTAATATCGCCCGATTCATCTAGATTACTAGATTTTTACTCGATTGCAACTATTGGGTGACGACAGTGGAAATCTAGTATTCAGGCGATTGCTAGATTTCTTCTAGTTCCAACTATCAATCGCTTTAACTATTGCTAGTTACATATACAGATACATCTAGTTAAAAGTCTCTTTTCCAACTAGTAATCTAGATGACAACTAGTCGTGTATGGCCCGATGACAGACGAAATGTATCTAGATTTTTCCCATAGGTGATGTTTGCTTGGGCATACTAATAAAGTAAAGTAAGCTGTGTGTAGAAATTTATTAGATTATAGTTGTATAGGAATAGAAGAACTTGCATAGAGGCAGAAAACGTATATATTATAGCACTTTTTCACAACAGATTATTGAGTTCTGTTTATACTCGAGTCATTTGGCGTAGTGGCGTATCCAAGGGGGCGCATGGGGGTGCTGAGCACCCCCACCGAGAAATTTTTACAAATGAGCTTTTTCTCAGTGGAAGGCAAATAGTGGCGTATCCAAGGGGGTGCTGAGCACCCCCACCGACTTTTTCCTGGTTACGCCACTAATTTGGCGTTTTCCATGTCTTCAATGCATCTTCAATTCTAGCAGTGGAGAAGGAGGGAATTTTAGTGAGTAACTAAGGAAATGCAAGTCACTTCTTCAAGTCAACGTAATAAAACAACTCACTAGCAAAGCGTTATCGATTAGGGGATGGGGAGGGAGGCAAACCACCCACTCGTTTGGATACAGTTTCTCAAAAAATTTTGACTTACTCAGAAATTTTTTAAGAAATTTAAGTTGAGAAACTGCCTTTTATGCACCTGAGTAAGTGATTTTCTCTAGCTTCTGAGTAACTCATTTATTTGTTGAGAAATTCGCTCTTATGCACCTGAGTAACTAACATTTTTTCCTGAGTAACTCAGTTACTCAAAAAAAAGTTTTAGTCAAAAAATGCATTACTCAATAAAAAAACTTTAGTTATTCAGCAGGTTTTATTTGAAGAAAGTGAACGGCTATACATAGTATACAAGTTCAGCAAGAGTTTTGCATGGGTTACGCCTGAGTTGCGTCGTACTTAATATGACAAAAAACATTTTTAATAATATCGAGGTGGAAATTCTTTTACCTCTGCGTAGTTATCGTCGTAATCTGTTCAACTCGGAGCTGCAATTTTGAATACAAAAAAATAAATCTATTAATAATATTCAAGAAACAAATGCGTAATTTTTTTTCTATATAATAAAACTAAATCAGCCTGGAATAAAACTGCGCGTTTCTGTATTGATACCCTCGCTTATCGTTCCTTTTCTTTCAAACAAGATAAAATAGAAATATCATCACGTCGGCACCTTGAAGCATGATTATTTTAAAAGGAGATACAAAACAAAAGTATGTTGGAATAGAAGGAATAGTTAATAAACAATACATTGAAATATGTTCGATAAATTACTAAAAAATAATAAAATAATGTGAACAATATTCTGCGTGGAATTGTTATTCCAAAACACCACAAATATATGACAATCAGAGGTATTAGCCGATTACTTTATGAGCGGCGGCGTGGCAAATTGAAAAGATTATCGGCAGCGACGAAAATTTTAAAAAAATATTTCCACCTCTGGCGGCGGCGGCGTGAAAGTTTTTCTGAACCGTTCTTCTCGCACCGTGCAAGAGGAACGGAACAGCCTTCATCAATGCTGTATGTAAAATATTTTAGCGATAAATAACAATATAATCTTTATTCCTATCTTTTGCACAGCTTTTTTTCGGGTTCGAACTCGGGACGGGTTTTAGTTCATCTGAACGGGATCGAATTTGTTTCCAATCCTGATTCTTTCTAGTTTGATATAGAGGAAGATAAGAGACAATTCTAAATAAATAAAAAAGAATGGAAAATAAGGAAAACGGACAGGTGCTAGACGTACAACCGACCAAGTGAATTTTATTTTTTTACTTCTGCGAGTAGAAATTAACTAATGTTAAAATGAAAGAGAGCACTACTTCACTAGAAAAAAAATATTTGGGGTTCGAACGGATTCGGGACGGTTTATTTGAAAAAATCGGGATCCCAAAAAAGTTCTGGCGGGTTCGGGACGGATTTCAAATCTACAAAACCGGATCGGGTTCGAAAATCTCAAACCCGTAGGACTCTACTTGCTGTCCCTAGTAAAGGTCACGGAAGTTTTCACACTTCTTGCTCTACAGGAGCAACGCTGACAAGCTTTTTCTGGTTGTGTAGCTTCACTCAACATACGTTTTTATTGTTTCAAACTTAAAGACTTCCTCTCTCTTAGAAGACGTTGTGCATTTGATCTGAACCAATCTTTTGTCAATCAAACCACCTTTTAAAACGGTTCTGATTTAACCTGAAATATGAAAGCATTCAAGATCTATAGGTGGCGCAAAGGCGACGGAGAAAAAGCACTAACTATCCTCAGCACCTTTTATTAAGTTTTGTAGAAAAATATATCTGCATCAAGTGTAATTGCATGGAGTTGCTTCGCATCTTAGTTTCGAGCGAAGATTGTACAAATCTACATACTAATCATCCTTATCAACTGTATTTGGGACTTTAGGAACCTTAATATATAAAACAACATAGATTCTGAAAGGAGTGGATTCTCCGTTACAAAAGAGTTTCTCTTACTGATGCACGCAGAAAAAATGTGTTTGTAAACGATGATCTTAGTAGAACATAGTATTTAATTTTATGGACGTTTCATCGTTTGCTTTGAAGTACTATTACTAAACAAACCTCATATGTACAACTAAAAACGACTTTTAGCGCATATTCACAGTATAGCAAAAGCTCGTCTTCGATTATTAATATTCCCAAACCATAGTAAGTCTTCTGCTACAATAGAGAAGGCCAGTCCGAGCAATTTTTCACCAAAAATTGAAGAAAATAGAAGATCACATTGTAGGGTTTATCGAAATATTCTGCGATGATGATTCTCGAGGTACATGTTGATTATTGGAGGACATTAAACAGTCCTCCCCTTACGTCTATAAAACCCTCAATGATCATACTGAGACAAGAACAAAGATCCCATAGTAAGTCAATAGATAAATCAGACAAGGTTATTGTATTTTGTTACAAGACATCCTTCGATCAGTCTTACACGTTCAATAAAACGCTGCTACAAATATGCTACTAAAAGAAGTTAAAAAAAAAGAATTAATACCACTAAAAAATCTCATCGAGTTAACAAAAGACATAAAACAAACATACAAACACTTAGATCTTTTTTACAATGAGAACAAAAATACACATATATCTTTTCACAGTTTTAGCAGTTCACCACTTAATAAAGAAAAAGTAAAATACAACCAGAATCGGATACAAAAGAGCATGATCAATAAATACACTAGTTCTATGTAAAAATGAATAAAGAATAAGCAAAGATAACGATCACAGGAAAAAACCTTAGCTCTTAAATAAAAAAGACATAACAAACAAAAACAAATCAGTGGAAATGAATTGCACAAGTTCAATCGTTATACAGCATGCAGACTAATCTAAGTTCATGTGTTCTAGTTCATATTCGTACGAAATTAATTTTGTGATCTTCGATAGTTAAAGTTTTAGAATACTATAATAGATTTACTTTCGCTTATATTTGGAATAGCAAAAGGATAAATCAAATTAAAAATTCTAGCTCAAAATAAGAATTTGTTATTGAAATAATACAAATATTAAATAGAATATAAAAATAGCCAAGGAGAATGGAATGGTTTCATCGGAATACGATGGATTTATAAAACATCTTTGTTGATACCAAATGTGCAAAAAGTGGAAAAACAATTTTTTCGAAGAATCGGTAAGTTTAATGCTTAACTAGACGAATTGTATTTTCCCAATGCAGCCATACTATTTTGCTAAAAGTGAAATCAAAATATCAGATTTCTGTGATGACTACTAATTGTCTTACTTACTTTCGCTAGCCGGATAAACTCTTTTTGTGCATGTTCAACATTTTCTTTATCTCCTTTCCAAACTTTTAATACTGATGATTGTAAAGCTCGCCCATAACTAAATGATAGTGGCCATGGTTTAATCAAATTAACTTTGTTTATCTCATTCAAAAATATTGTCGAATTTTCTTCAGAGTGACCGCCTAACACGAAACAAAACATAGTACAAAATCACAATATTAATGACAATCATACCGGATAGAAATAAAATACCAGGAACGGCGGCTGGAACTGTTCGACGTAATGTTTGCACAGTAGCAAAAGCAATTTGTTCAGCTGTATATTTTTTCGTGTTAGATTGTCCTAAAAATAAAAAACACTTATATAACAATCAATTTTGTCTAAAGAAGAAACGTACATAATAAGGCTAACTAAAACATGCGTTTATGACGTTTTTTTATCGTAGATAGTTGATAAAAAATAGCGAATGTGAGTTGTCATCTTTACGAAGAATTCTAATGGAAAAGATTAATGACTTTAGTGGTGTATTCAGACCATTCTAAAATTAATACGAAGTAACTAAACTCATTTTTGTCTTATTTTCAAACAACAAACTTCTCAACAAAAGTTAGCTACCTACCTAACAAAACTAAAACCGAATCAACGACATTGTCTAACGGTCTCTTTTCTTCTACTCACCAGCGGTAACCATATTCGGCTTCAATAATGTTCCTTCTAGATATACATGATGATCATTTAATGCTTTATAAACGGCAGCTAATACTTTCTCTGTTACGCGTTGACAAATTTCCATATCATGATCTCCATCTTGAAGAACTTCTGGTTCAACAATAGGAACTAGACCAGCCTGAAAAGGCAATATTGTACATGAGTACACATAAAAAGGCAAGTTTTCTAAAACAAACCTGTTGACAAATGGATGCATAGCGCGCTAAATTCTCAGCATTAACCTGAATGGCTAATTGTGATGGCATATTTGGACCAATTTTGAGTACAGCACGCCATTTTGCAAACTGAGCACCATCATTTTTATATGTTTTACACCGTTCTTCCAGACCATCGAGACCTGAAATCAACTTTTAATTATCTACATCCTTTTAAACTGCTAGTATACATAATATAAGTACATACCTTGCGTTGTTGTTTCCTCGTTGGTACCTGCTAATTTTACTGTTCCTTTATCAACTTTAATTCCGGGTATGATGCCGTTTCGTTTTAACAATGTCGTAAATGGCACTCCATCAGCTGTTTTATGATACAGTGTTTCATGAAAAAGTATCACACCACTAATATATTCTGCTATTGACGTTTTATCAGTTTTAAATAATAATTCACGATAAGAACGACGATTTTCCTCATTATTTTCAACATTTATCTTTGAAAATCGGTTAGCAATTGTACCTAAAGTAAATAGTAACCAACAATTGTTTTACACTTAATTCAAAACCTCAGAAGTAATATGCTTACCGCTACTTTCATCTGCCGCTAGAATTCCTAGATAAAAACAGACTCATTTAGTAGAAACAAATTTTTGTTTATTCCAAATACTTCCACCTTTTCCTGGTGTGGCTATGGCATTTGCGATTTGTGCTAATTCTTTTTCTTGATCTTTTGATAGGTTAAATGCCATTTGCTAATCAAAAATCTAGATTTCAAATACTACATGAGAGCCAAAGTTCGTTAACCGAAGATTTAAAACGTCTTGTCACATTCATCTGTCACAAAAATACTATTTTTTTCCAGTCTGGACAAACAGTATAAAGCTGTAAAGCACTTCCACCAAGCATTAAATGGCTTAGGGGTAGGTAATATTCTAGCAACAGATTATGCAGTTACTCACTAAAGATTGCGAAAATGAAAAACATTACTCTTGCTTTTGACTTTCATTAAAAATGGTTTTTGCGAGGGGAAAACGGTCAAAAACGTTTTCTATTTCCACATCATCACGCTAAGTGACGAGACAAAACTGAGATGCAACACGGCAGTGTGATACCTCTACTTATTCTCTATATAGAATCTAGAGGCTTCATGCAAAATGTTCAGCTCAAGATAAAAGCGATCTAAAAGTAGTGTGTGAATGAGAAATAAAGCAGAATTGAATCTGCGTGAAAAAAGATTTCGCACGGTTTAATCTTCAATTGATAAGCAGTACTCCATGCATGTAATCTGTTAGATACAAATAGGCACGCATGCAACGTTCTATGTGCTGACTTTATTACTAGAAAAAATTTTCATTTCTGTATTTGAATCATATCATACGGTTATGATGAAATACGAACAGCACTAAAGAAAACTTCAAGTAGTATAGCTAGCTATCAAATACCAAAGCACATACGGTGGCAGATATTTACTAATCATAAGCGACAATGATATATAAGATACAATAACTGAGTGTAAGAAGGGTGACATATATGATATATGTTGTTTTATTTATTAATGATAAGGAAAAAGACGTGCAATCATTAGCTGAAGCTGATTGGTCCGTCAGTGTGTCACCAGCTGTTCAAAAGCAATCCTTTGCTTAGGATGAAGATAAACTTTCGCTAAATTGTCAACTTGTTAGAGCTCTAGAGGTTTTTTACAAATAATGGTACACACTGTAAAAAGTTAAAATTCGGATTTCCCTAAAAATACTTACTTAAGATTAGTTAAAAATTTTAGGGCGCTACTGCACGTCGCCTTACAGCTAACAACAATGTGATGGCTTGAAAAGGGTAGTTGTGAATGTTAAAAGAAATGTGAAAGATGGTAGTTGATCGTACAGCCAAGGGATGCCGTTGCGATGAACTTCGACGTTTTTTTGCGGTCGTTTTTTCGTGCCTTAAATAAATTGCAAAAGAATCGCAATCAATAATTATCCATTCAAAATAAATTTGAGACTAGTGATTTGAATAGATGCACGGATAATTATTGATTGCGATTCTTTTGCAATTTATTTAAGGGACGGAAAAACGACCGCAAAAAAACGTCTATAAATCACGAAAGGAACCACTTTTTTTTCGTTGGCAGTATGATCAAGTATGAAAAGTGATGAACATACCAAAGTCGATTTTGGTCTTTTTTGGGGAATAAGGTTTTTTAATAAAACCCAGCAAATCGTTTCATAAATGATGAATTTTGAATGCAATTTGTCAGACAAAAAGAAAATGACGCCAACATCCTATATGTATGATCGTTAACATTTGTTTACTATTTCGTAAAATTTGTAATAAATAAATCCGTAACTGTATACTTGACGAATCACAGCTTTCTTTCTAAATTTCCTGAATATTAAACGAAAAAACAGCAAAAACTCTAGGATTCCGAATCCTAGAGTTTTTGCTGTTTTTTAACATCTCCTGTAGTTATGATCTTAATTAAATAAAGAGCGACAGTGGTTATGATCGCAAATTTGCCTGATGGAGCCCAGTTATAACTTTCGAGCCCCTATTTATAAGCTTAAAATCGTTCTCGATCTCTATTACTGATCAGGGCTCTAATCCGAGTCTAAACTTGAAAATTTTTCGATGGATTCAGACCGGAAATTTTTTCGAAAGATTCGGACTCGAACTTGGGTTTTTGTGTTTCGAATCCGATCGATTCAAGTTCTTACACAAATCAACAGGAAAATTTTCAGCTTTTCAATATCGGTGTGGGATACACAATAGAAGTTTACTTATGTAAGTTTTTCTGTCATAATAAGAGTACGGCTTAGGAGAAAAGAATATAAATAAAGACAGCCAAAAATAAAGTTTGAAAAAACTATGGAACTCGAAATGGACTCGCGATCGTGTTTCAAGGATTCGGACCCGCCGAGCCCTGCTGCGAATCATTCAGTGTCTTACTTAATAGTACACCCTCTATTTTGAAAAAAATTTGGATTTTGAGCCGAATATATCCCAGTGTAGGGGAAAGCCTGGACCACAAAATGAGACTGCTCCCAGCGTTCCAGGACCTTCATTGCAAATGTTATGAATTTTTTTAATTTTTTGCTGCAAAGACCGAAAAAACACAATTTTTTAGTTTTATACTTTTCTCTCTTTTCTTGCACATTCAAATTCTTCACATTACGACCCCTCGATGACTTGATCTAATCGACTTCAAAACTTTATCATAAATACTAGGCAACGTTGTCCATGTGTACATTTGTTTTTCGTTCTTTCATCTTTTCTTTTCGAGTTATAGGAATTTAAGATTGAAAAATCTGGAAAAATCTGTTTTTCAGTGTTTTCTGCTATAACTAACTGTGGAAGAAAAGATGATAGAACGAAAAAACCATAAAATCACCAAGAAGCACATACTTAACAAAACTGTTTGATTTCATTTATCACGAAGAAAACACAAAATAACTTTTTACTGCCTAAGCAGTCGTACTATGTAAATCGAAAATACATGTAGAAACTAAAACTTTTCAGAGACTACAAGCCTAATTAGTTTATAGTGTACATCTTTTGAAAATAAAGCTTTATCACACACACACAAAACAAAAGTTTACTTTTAGAAAAAATAGGTGTTTAAACAAACAGAAAGATGACAAAAACTAATTTTCTACGATCAAATTGGTTACAGATCAAGTTGATTGCTATCAGTAACTGTTTATTTCGATTTCAAGTTTCTTTCATGTTCTTTTTAAATCGTGCCGACGCCAGTGTAATCAGCACAGGAATTTTATGATGTTGAATTATTTCACCAGCACAGTGAGAATGGTAATGACTTCGAATTCAAAAACGCTGTGTGATCGAAAAAAACATTGTGACCGTTACAAGGGGTGCCATTACGATTTTATAGCTTCTGATTATGATCTTAAAAATACCTAGTGTTCCTCGTTATGGCCTTGAAACCGTACAAGGTTTCCAGTCATGATCTTAAAACTGTTGCAGAGCCTGTAATTATTTTTTTTTTGCTCAGGAATTACACCCACATCGTTGTTTTTTATTGAAAACCGACGGTTACCATTGATCCAGCAGACGAACTGACGTTTATTTCAATAATCACTGTCCGTCTAAAAAGCCATCGGGTATTGGTCAATCGTTCTTTTTATCCAAGTTCATGCACCGTTTTTTATCTACTGATTACAAAAACGAACTCAAGAATTTAACAGTCGGGAGGAGTTTCACATTTTAGCCCCAAACGGGACTGTATTGACAAGATTTTAATCGGTTGGCAGTCTGATAATCGTTAGTTTATTAAAGGTGGGTCATGCAATCTTTATAAATGTTGTGTTTTATTAAAGAAACTGACATTTCATTTACCTCAGCGGATGGATAGAAAAGCGAATCTCTACCTTTCGAAAGGTGACTATGTCTCAGTCACATAAATAGCTAACATTAAAAAGCATAATATTGCTAGAGTGATCTTGACACATTGTTCATCTTTTTTTAATAAACAAAAGCAAGTCAGGCTTTTGTTTATTTTGTTAACCATGAACTTGATCCACCCGTTTTTGAGATACATTGATTACAATTAATATAATCCACCATAGGAAGACGCATATGAACAATGACACGATAAAACATGACATAAAATTGATTGATTACTGTTGTTTTCTTTTACTATAGAAAGGAAAAAACGAAGAAAGCATGACATAGTCAAATCAAATACTCTCTTTCGTCCAAATAAACGTGGGACACCTTGTTATCAAAGTAAAAGATTAAAAAATGAATTCGAAGTGCCTCTCTAATAATGGCATGGATGTTTGTTTTAGGTTTGAACAAATCTTCTTCAAGAGTAGAAAGTTATGAAAAATGGGGTGCAGTATTAGTAAAACTGGAGAGTCAATATATGATTTTTACCGTAGAAATTATCCACATTTTTGGTTCTTGGCACCATCTTTTCTTGCTTCAGTTGGAGCTATTGGATTTGTCGGCTACATATCGTCGAAACACAAACCGGTACTGTCATCACTACATGTGAACCTTTTCCATTTACTTGGAGCGGCAGGAGGTACGTTTTGTAAAGGTCAGTGGGATAGTCCCAGTCGCGGTCCCTCGGGACTTTTTACGAGACCGGGACCTAGAGGTCTGCGGGACGGTCTCAGTCGTACGGGTTACGATCGAGGATGTACGATCTCGCGCGACTTTTATTGGGATCTGGATCAAGCTTTTTTGAAAATAGTCTTGTATGGAGCATAAAAAATTCTTAGTTTCTGTGCTTGTTTGTATGTAGGCACTAGTTCTGCGGGAAAGCACTCACATAAAATTCTAAAAGTCTTCAATTATACCACCCACGCATACTGTCCCACGCACCATATTACAACACGCTGACTTTGAAACCACAAGCGCTACTTCGAAGAAATATTTACGGTACTGAGATTAAAAACAAGTTCTTTCTACGAAACCGAGACCAAAATTGTTTTTCTTCCTGGGACCGGAATCAAAAACGTTTGGTCTCGCAGACCTCTAATTTTGAGCACAGAGCAAATGAAAAGGTATTTTCTAAATATGTTTGAAATCAACTTTAGGATTTGGTATTAGCCTTTGGATGAATACAGTTCATGGTAAAGAATGAAAATTTTCCTTAGGTTTGTGTTCAGAAGACTCATCTTTTCAGTTTTTTTTGTTCATAGGTACAGCAATGTTTCGATTACTGAGTCGTCAGGATTATGGAATAATTCAGTCGTATACATCATCTGTGTATTTTTCATTGACAACTTTATTAGCTAGTTTAAGTTTGGGAACATTTATCGTACGTCACCCATATAATAAATGGTCACGAGATACTACAAATTTGGTAGGAACAATTTCGAACTTGAGAAAAGCTACATAGATGAGATTTCGTGCTTTCTATTTGTCCTGTCTGTTGTAGGGTGTTGTATTGACTGTTGCATTAATATGTGCCGAGTTGAATAGTATTGTAAGTATTCATTATCTTGTGAATATTGTTTCATATACTTGTTGAAAATACTCTAATAGTACTCCTGTTTGCCTATCTTTGCTCCCTCAGCAATCAAACTACTAAATTTGCATGAATTATTCATTTTTTCTGCTTAGTGAGATCATGGTAGTGAACTATGGCTATTTTAAACTTTTAGGTGTTATCTCCACTAGTGACAAATTTGATGTTTGAGCGACATAATGTTGAATTTATTCATAACGTGAAATCAATTGATGAAGTTGAGAAATTACACATCGAAGATCAAACATATCGTATGCTCAATAATAAATTTAATTTATTCCATTCATTATCACTGGCTACGGGTTTAGGTACGTTTTTTGTATTCGAACTAAGAATGGGAGAAAAGTGAGATGTTTGTTTCTTCGAATTTTAGCATATCATGGCTTACAATGGTATCATCTATGGTTTCTTGCTAACAAATGTCTTGCTGTATGAATTTCATTTGAAAAGTAACAACTCACAATCAAACACAAATCCAGCGTAGAGAACAGAAACTGTTCGCTTTTTTTTCATGTTTTTCGGTTACTACCTTATATGTTTCGCTTTCTGATCATGAAGATTGTTATAGACAGTCACGGGGTACAGTCCTAATCCTACAAGCATTATGCCTTCATGTAACCTCTATAACGAACATTTGTTTGTATCACTTAACGAAGTAGTTTGTCGTTGTTTACATTCATTTTTCTGTCTTTTTGTATACGTTTGTATTTGTGTCTTTGTCTGTCAATATTAAAAAAGAGAAATGCCAATTTTGAACATGTACTAATTTAATTTCAGCGCTATTCTCGATTACATTAGTGTTATTAATGGTTTTATTACTTTCCTTTTATATGTGTCTATTTTTCTCTTTTATCATAATCTGGCCTTCAAATTTGTTATACGCTTACTCTAACATCTAAAGAAGAATACCAAAACGCTGCAGCTATTTATATTTTTTTATTTTTCACCAAAGTAGTTAAAAGACATAAATGCAAAGCAATCAGGAAAAGGAAGAGAAACGACCACAATTTGGTTAAACAGGGTTTTTTAAGATCAGCCGATTTAGCTGTATCAAAACTCTTAAATCAAGAAATAGCGAACAGTCATTTGTAATAGATGTCATCATAGCTATTGCTCGTTTCGATATACATTGTAATCCAGGACAGTTTCTAGAAAATAAAAAATAAAGACATAACTCTTCAAGATCTGCAGGTTGTTTTTATCATTGTGTATCTTAAGAGATTCATCTATGTTCCGATGTTCGATTGCTTAGTTTGCAAAATACAGAAGTGTTTCCTTATTCTTTTCTGGAAAAACAAAGCAAGTTTAAGTATTAATTTGTAGTTAGACCATTCCACGTAACTTTACCAAAAACATGATTCCGTAACATTTTATGCTATTTTCTTGTCTTCAAATATTTCGAACAGAAGCACGCCACAAGATTGCGATTGTGTTAGGTTACACATAAGTTTAAATCCAAAACCGACTTTTTATCAGTATATTCAGACAAAAATACAACAGATGTTCGGGGCGAAACATGTTGCTCTATTAAAATACTATATGAGACAGTATGCACTACAAACAAATGATGAGAGATTAGTGGAATTGTTATCAGTATCCGCGCAAAAATTCATATCTAGACAAGTTTCCTTGATTTTGTCTGATTGATGTGGTGTTTTTACCATTTTCTACGAAGTTTACTTTGTGTAGAAATCGTGAATGATTGTTATCGATTATATAAATTACGTGGAAAAAACAATAAATCGAGCGATGGCATACCATAACAATGTAACAATAACTAGCACTAGTGCAAATGTAACTTCTTTAATTGGTAATTTAACAAGCAGTGGTACCAATCAAGGAACTATGCCGTTGATACAATCAATAACGACAACGCCATTGCTGAATTACACAGTTTATCTATACCTAAAATCTCATTTTCTTACCTCTTCTTGTTATTCGACTGCTCTTTCCCTGACCCAGTGTTGATGAAAACAGGTGCTTCGATTTTTAATTTCGTCAAAACAGCCTTCTTTTCACACATAGTGGGTCGGCGGGACTGTTCGACATTCACCCCACTGACGCGTCTTCAAAAGACGATTGCGTGGTCGCTAATGTGAATGCTCGATGACCGTTCAACCCGAAAAAAAAAAGTTAAAAAATTAGAAAAGAAGGCGAAAGAGAGTTTGCGGTTTCGACCATAAGTAAAACTCATGGAGAAACCGCCTATGTTATCTGCCAAGTACTTCAGTGTGTGAAATTCTATTATACGAAGTAAGCGACATGATGATCTCGCTCAGAGAATGAAAGTTCGAACGAAATTTCAACTCTAAAATTATGAGACATGAGATTGTGACTGTTTGCGAATGGCTTTTATAGTAGCTGAAGTATTGCGCCACCAACTCTCCTTGTGATGAAAAGAAATAAAAAGAACAGAAAAGGCAAAATAGTAGCAAATTAGCAGATAAAGGGCATGTCTCTTAAGACCAATCGCAAGCTTCGGG